TATATAACGGAATAAAGAGTTTACTAAGAAATATAGATTCAGGTAGTCGGAGAATCTTTTAATTCTTGCTCTATTCAAAATATCTCCTTGTATTTTATTAGCATTTGTCAGAATACCGGAGTCCAAGTGTTTCTACAAGCTAAATAATTTCAAAAACCAATTGATCGGTGAATAAGCTCCAATCCTCCGTGGTCATCAACGTGTGAGCAGTACTGACAACTTGTGCAATGTGATACACGTTCTCCTGGGCCAATAATTAAGTAAGTTGATTTGTAAGGATGAACCAAAGGTGAAATTGTTCCTTAATTAGGACTGATCTTGACGCAAATTTTCATTCCCGTCTAAGTTACCTTTGATGATATTGATTTTATTTATTTATTTCAAATGGTGGGTTTTTATGATACTTTTCATTTGCCCTTTAGCTAACTTAGCGATTCAAAGATGTGAAAGAGACAGACAGACACAAAGGCTGAGAAAAGGTAGGATAAGTATGGTGGAAGTGATCGAATAAGACATACAATGGGGTCATGGTAGTTTGAGGCCAGAAGTCGTGTGAGAATATGTTGCCAGGGATTCACCGCGTGGAAGTAAGTCTATCGCACGCCCCTAAATTGACTGTATTAATCCTGTGACAAAATAAATAGACTGCAAAAAAATACCATATATTATATTGTTTGTACCGCAGATTGTTCCTTTGTCTCTTGATGGCTATGCTAGATCGTGCACTGTGCTGATTTAACTGGAATGTGTTCCCACTGCGCCCAATCATTTTTACTACGCACAAAGAGTGGGATTCAGGTGTTGAATGGATGACCAAGTGATATATGACTGCAATTCCCTCCTCTGTGGTTTGTTTACATTTAGCCCATTTCCCATAAGATTTCAGCTAGCACACTGCGCTAATATACATATGCCTGGGTTTATATGTGGTGTGCACCAGTGACGAGTGTTTACGCCACAGAGCCACTTCCGCTACGCCTTAACAGAAGGGGAGATTTGTGAGGGATAATATGTCCTCATTCAGGTGTGTTTTTAAAGATAAACATTGAGCCTCCTATGTGGGGATGAATTAAAGACAAACCAAAATGCCAGCTGTTGTGGAAATGGGAGTCTCAATGACATTCTCTATCTCCAATCATTATTGATATTTCCGTAAAAAAATGTGACTGAAATCATCGCTTTATCCTGCACTTATCGTAGCGTCTCTTCATGCTTATTTTACACAGTCATCTTAGTGAGGGATTTTGGTGTATTTTCTAGGTGTATTCTACTACTCACCTTGGACAGTGTAAACGTTTTCCGACTTCTCACGAATGGAATGAACTCTATGTTAATTCAATTGACCTTAATCTTTTCGAAATGTTATATTGAACCGAGGGGTGTGCGATAGACTTACCTCCACTGGTGCACCCTGGGCAACGTATACTCATGCGGCAAAAAATTCTATTAATCGGCAGTTGACTTCTCACTTCAAACAACCATCTCCCCCACTGTACGTCCTATTCAACCCCTACCACTACTCATCCTACCCTTTCTGAGCCTGTGTGTCTGTTTCTATTACATCTTTGAAACACCCTTCTATTCCCCCTCCTGAATTCTTCTCCTCCCCTCTGTGAAGTTCCCCCTCCTGAATTCTTCTCACTTTGATGTTCCTCCTCCCCTCTGTGAAGTTCGGAGTCAACTAAAGGGCTATTGATAACTATCAAACCGCCTGCCATTTGTTATAAATAAATAAATAAATATTGAACCGATGGGCAACGCTCTATCAAATGACATAACCATTTGGGTAATGCCTAAAAAAACAGACATCTAGATAGAAATACTGAACGTAATTAATTAAATTATTGGCATTTTTAATAGAGAAGAGGGTGAAATTTACCAAATTTCATTGTGTTAAGCAGCTGACGTGGACTGGTAGATGAATCGCTTCCAATCCATTATTCGACTTTGAAGATATGTCGATATGGAGTGCAACCAATGCTTATCGGCATTATTCCCTGCTCATATTTTATGTCTTCCAATAATCTTTCACGATATTTCACGATGTGCATGTTGTGTTTTCTCACAGATGAGGTTAAATTTGATGCGATTTTTATTAAAATTGCAATGTTGTTCTTTTCAAAAAACTGCAAGAATTATTTTTTTTAAATTCATTTGAGTTTTGTCATAACAAAGCCGAGTGGCGAATCATGGCACTTTAATGATCCCATTGGAATAGTTATGTGCTATCGTTTTATTAGAAAATATTAAGTCATATTCATTAAGCATTCAATTATTGTCAGGAGAACTTGACGTCTGACATTGAATTCGCTCGACTTAGAAAGTCTATATGGAAATGGGTTGCTTAAAATATGTAGATTTTAATTTAGAATATTTGCAAATTTGTTTTTCTTTTTGAAAAATGCGGCATAAAAATGTCAAGATAAAATATTGATTTCCATTTTTTTCTTAGATTGAAAGTACTGGCCTTCAACTTGCCATGAATGAGATTCATTCAATTAAAATACACCTCATTGCGGTGTGAACCCATTGAAATACAGCATCGAGTTCACAAGGGGAGGGGTGGGGGTGGGGGGTTGGGGTGGGAGGCGGGGGTTCAGATTATTACCTAATAGTAAGAAGGAACAGTTCTCAAGCATGCACACACACACACAATGGTTTCTTGAGCACATACTTAGCACTTTCTCGTTGTGTAGTCTCTCTCCCACAGAATTAGTCAAGCACTTGATTTACCCCACAGCCTAAGGGGTAGACGAGACTCATCTGCAGGCTGGTTTCCCAGACTCATTATTCCCGGCTTCTCAGGTTTAGATTCCATCGAATTATGAAAGCCCTATTGTTAGGAAAAAGGTGTTGGACAATACAAAACACATTTACACCTTATAACTCTGGCAAATATCTCAAACAGATGAACAATGGATGAGGTGTAAAATGGAGAAGATTAAAAATTCAAAGTAACATCGTTAAAATTTTGAAACACTGGAAAGCGCTAATTTGGATTTTAAGGCCTTATGTTTATATTTAACGGATTGTCTCCTAGGTTCAAGGGTTGTCAAAAATACTCGAAATTTCGTTACTTACCTGGGGTGTGTGATAGACTTACCTCCACGTATACTCATATGGCAAAAAAGTCTATTAACTGGCAGTTGACTTCTCACTTCAAACTACCATCACCTCAATATATGTCCTATTCGACTACTTCCATAGTACTCACCTCACCTTTTTTCTACCTTTGTGTCTGTCTCGTTGGCATCTTTGAAACACTCTTCTGTTCCCCCTCCTTACCATCTCGACTTTTTTCAATTTGATGTACCTTCCTCTCTTTGAAGCCTGAAGTCAACTAAAGGACTAATGATAACCATTAAGACGCCTGCCATTTGTTATAAATAATTACTTAACTACCTAGTTCCCGTGGGGTCATACCATCACAACTTACAACTGACACTAGGAAAATAGGACTATCAATAGTTTTGAGCTGAATGAATCCCACTAAATCTCACTGAAGAAGAGCTCTCGTCAAAATCATATGCAATTAATCCATTAACTGGTAATGGGGAAATATCAATTATTACGTCTAGCCAGGGGGGGTGTGACAAAATTCGACTTTATTGCCATGAATGTTCACCAATACAACTCTCTACTCAAGAGAATGGACTTGGAAATAAATTATTAGTATCATCATTTATGCGGAATAGACATTACCAGTTGCCTGTGACAATTTGGAAACTTTTTGTTCAAATTTGGAATAAATGGAGGTAAATTGTATTTTAAGTTGAATGAGCAACCCACCAATTTGATCAGTTGATCTAAAAGGTCTAGCATAAACCTAACCATGAACCAAGTAATCAATGTCTGAAATAATAAAAGCACTGAGTTACATTAGTTGCTAGAAAATTGGTGCATCTGAATTCTTAGACTTTATGATTTTTTAGCCTTCAGGTTTGCAGATGCGAAAATCGAATATTTTTGTATCTTTAAAATTAATGAAAAGTATTTAGTTATATCAAATGGCAGGCGTTTTGATAGTTATCATTGGCCCTGGAGCTGACTTCGGGGCTTCACAGAGAGGAGGAGGAGGAACATTAAAGTGGCAAAAAGTCGAGATGGGAGACAGAATAATGATTCACAGAGGTTAAAGAGACAGACAGACACAAAGGCATAAAAAGGTAAGATGAGTACTGTGAAAGGGGTCGAATATGACAAATAGTCGGGCCATAGTAGTTTGAAGTCAGAAGTTAACTCCCAGTTAATGGAGTTTTTTCTCACATACGTTGCCCTGGGTGCACCACGTGGAGGTAGTCTATTGCGCACCCCAATTAATGAAAAGTAAAGTAGATCCTACATCAGTCCATCTAAAATAACTAGAATGAGGAACTAATTACGAACTTCAAGATGATAGTTATGTTGGTATTCAAGCAACCCGTTTTCCTAGGCTAAGTAAAGTTCGAACAATCGTGATTTCCATGATGAAAATTGTCGTTCTTTGCAAAATGACATAAATACTTGACATCTAATAAATGCGTCAGTCACCCCTTTAAAATGAACTTATTTTTAGCTTTAAAAGATATTTCTTTTAGTCCTAATGAATGCTTAAATTTTCACCCTATATGGAATTATCTGTTACAGGGAGTTTAGTAAAATATAATATTCGCTTAATAAAATTATATATATATATATATATTTACTTTTTCGTTCATTAACACTATCAGCGATTTAATTAAATACTCGTCCACGGCTTAATAATACAGCTAATAATAGCACCCACCCCCCTCCCCCCCCCCTCCCTCTCCTCCCACCTATATGAGCTGTCGCGGTCATTGGTCAGTAGTGTTGGCACAAGCCAATCGGTATCAGGTAAGCGTACACACGCACGTATCGCTTCCACACATAAACCACTACTTCGCAAGAACCAGCTTGCGTGCATACCCCCGCGAAATAAGCCACTTATTTTTACGTGGACACTCTATACCAGAGAATCAGTTTCAACTTCAACTAGCAACATGTCAGACCTAATGTTGGCTGCTGAGTACACCCTGCGACGAGCTTTGGATGAAAGCTCTGGCGATCTTGTGGTCACTGGGAGCCCTCATCTGCTCTGTTCAAGATTACCTAAACACTGGAGATCAAATAAATCCCTTCCGACTCCATTCAGGGTAGTGAGTTTAGTTCCAGTTCCGGATGGAACGAGGGTGCTTTTAAGTGCTGGCAACGAAGAGAGACCATTTGCAGAACTCAAAAACGCTATCGCTGTGATGCAAAACCAGGAGGCAAGATTCAATGATCTTCGATTTCTTGGACGCAGTGGAAGAGGTAAGGGCGGATGGAACTTATAAAATTCACCTGTTCATCGAATCACGCTAAGGATATTAATGTGAGATTTGTAGTGGAATTGGCAAAATAGACCGCTGAATAAGTATATATTTGTTTATTTTGGTCTTAACTCATTTTCTAGCGCAAATGCCTATATGCTAAAGGGGGTTTTAGCTCCACGTATATGGATATTATAACCATCCAAAATAGAGAGGCCATAGTTTTGATATCCTTTGAAAGCATGGGGGGGGCAGTGGCTTAAGCTATTCCTCCGTTTATGAGTTGAACATGCTCTTAATCTTGCCATATCCCATATTGGGAGATTACCATATTAATGTAATTACGTACTTTTTGCAATGAACTTCCTTTTCATTTGTGACTGACTCAAAGTGGACTTAAGTTTACCCACCTGTAGGCAAATACTGGCCGTGTATGAGCCATAGCAACCATGCTGGTATAACACGAGGTAAACAGATGCAATCAGTACTGCCGCATCCGCTTCCCCTTTTTCCCTAGTAATTATTTGCATAAAATGAGTAGCACTGGGAAGAGGAAAGCCACCTGGGGATAAATAAAGTAAATACACTCTTTGTGTCTTGGATACGGCTGATGTGTCCACTAATACATTTATTTGCCCACTGGTTTGGTTTTACATTTACTCTCGGAGGAGGGTGTTTTTGGCCTACAAACGGAGTAGCCCATTGGCGGAAAAAAGTTGCGGTCGCTTGTCCAATAGACTTGCATGACGTTGGCATCTGCGGTTTGCGGTTTGGGCAGAGTGGCTACGCGCGTATGCCTTTAGCCAATAGCTGTAGGCGGCTTAACCGCATCATTTTGTGGTTAGACGCACACATCTTCATTTAAGGCGTTTGATTGAATGATTTTGCATATATCTAATATTCACTTCTTCTCCCCTTTACAGGAAAGTCTTTCAATGTAACGATCAATGTGGAGACGAATCCACCACTCATTGGCACCTACTCACACGCAATTAAAGTTACAGTAGATGGACCACGAGTTCCAAGGAACAAATATGGTAAATATTATTTTAATAAATTAAACAATTGGAATGCGAAAACAATTAGATTATTTTGTCAACCTAATAGTGCAATTTACTTGGAAATTAATTTATCTTACTAGAAAATGTGTAAGAAAATCTACCTAAACACAGTCACTCATGTTTAACTGAAGTCAGAGACAATTAAATTATCTAAAAATGTTGTCAATTTGACAGGCTCCCACGCCAAAATGTCACTGTCAAATCGTACTAAATGGAGAGTACATAATTTTAAAGAAAAAATGACACAAATAAAAGGTAGAATTCCTCTTCCATTCTCTTGTGGGACTAGCCCTTAAGTTGAAGAATGGTTGCGAATCTTGTTTAACTAATCTACAAATTTATCTAGATAGACTTACCTCCACGTGGTGCACCCTGGGCAACGT